TTTCTGGGTTTGGGGGTATCAGGGGTAACTCGGGTCATTTACAAAAAATTGTTAGGATATTTTGGACATTGGGATGGCTCTGAAACGTGTCTGAGCACGCTAAGAGCCGGCCCAAGGTCTATGATTTTCAGATCTGACAAAGGGTGAGGTCTGAAAAGTAGCATTTTTAGATTCAGATCTCTAAAAAGTGTAATCAAACGGCACCTTAGTGAGAAGTTCCCAATGTACGGGATAGATGTGTTGTGGGATGGAATGCACTCTATGGGGAGCCCATTTATTCACGGCTCGAAGCTTTTCGATTTTTTTTGGTAAATTACATATTAGTACCATATACTTTGGGCCTAGTCTAACTTTGGTACCCGAGTTTCAAAACGTGCCAATCCAGTACCTAAACTCCCAAAATGTTTCAGTTTAGTCCAAAATTGTTAATCACCGTTAAGTGGCATGTGAAAAGATGTAACGATGCCCTTAAGGTGTCATCTAATTTTTTTTATCAACCATCAAAATGCCCAACTCCAAATGCCTTTTATCTTGTTCATCATTGCTTTGGTTCAATATTAACTCTTGAGGAAGGAGATGATTAACAAGGTCTTATTTTTAAGGATAATTTTGGTATTTTTAAAAGTTTTAAATCCCAAATGTCATCATGTGATAATAATTGATGGACCCCTAACGAGACTAAGGGCCTGTTCATTTGCTCTGAAGTTTGAAATCTAAAAGTGCAATAATTACATTAAGATGTACATTTGTATTGGTGAACTTTTCTTTCCTGAACTCTGAATGCAGTGAGAATGTTATTCTAAATTCTAAAAATGATCAAATATCCATTTTGACCTCATATATGATAGGTTTTTTTTTTTGTCTTTTAGGAATATCATTGGAAAACAAAAAATTGTATGATTATATTTTAAGAGATAATAGGAAACGAACAACCATTTTTCTATTAAAGTTAAAATATTCCTCTTAAGAGATATGAAAATTCAAATACAGAATTAACACATTTTGAAATTCGGATATCAAAATAATATTAACCCAAAATAGAAGGTATTAATCTGCAATTTATCCTTTTCTTTCCGCTGTAATAGTCCATGGAACAGCCAACGCTGATAATAATAAGGGTAAATTTCTTAAATTACCCTTATGGTTTAGCTAATTGACTAAGTGTATCCTTACTGTTTGAAAATTGACTAACACTACCCCTACTGTTTCTAACAATTGACTAACTCTACCCTTATCGTTAACGTCCATTAATGCTTGTTACAATTTGTGCACATGTAACCCCACCTGACCTATAAAATTTTTTGAAAACCCAATATTACCATCGTCCCATTAGGCTTGAACCCCCACTCCTTATGCCATGAACTACCACTTCAAGAACTCAAAATTCGCGTGCGAGACGAACGAGTACCTGACAGTGGTGTTTTCTCCACCTCCATACCGGAAAAATTTGACTGTAACCTACCTCTCTCTCTCTCTCTCTCTCTCTCCCGTTCTTGTATCTGGGTTCCTCTCCATTAAGCTTTCTTCTTTCCTTCATTTTGGAACGGTTTATCACGTGGACTAGCTACTCTGTTTTGACATTATAACTTTATAAGCTGCAAGAGTAATACTGCACAACTGTGCATGTCCCTCCGGTAGCAACCATGATCACCGGCAAGGACATCTACGATGTGCTAGCAGCAATTGTACCACTCTATGTTGCTATGATCCTTGCCTATGGTTCAGTTTGGTGGTGGAAGATTTTCACCCCTGATCAATGCTCCGACATCAATCGCTTTGTGGCAATCTTTGCCGTCCCCCTCCTTTCCTTCCATTTCATCTCCAGTAACAATCCTTATGCCATGAACTACCGCTTCACCGCTGTCGACTCTCTGCAAAAGATTGTCATCCTCTCTGCTCTACTCCTCTGGCAGGCCTTGAGCAAGAATGGAAGTCTGGAATGGATGATCACCTTCTTCTCCCTTTCCACTCTCCCCAACACTCTTGTCATGGGCATTTCCCTCCTTAAGGCCGCCATGTATGGAGAGTTCTCTGGGAGTCTCATTGTGCAAATTGTGGTGTTGCAGTGTGATCTGGTACACTCTTATGCTCTTCATGTTTGAATACAGAGGTGCAAAGCTCCTCATCGGACAGCAGTTCCCAGAGACTGCTGGCTCCATCACTTCATTCAGGGTTGACTCTGATGTCGTTTCAATGAATGGTCGGGAGCCATTGCAGGCCGCTGAGATTGGAGATGACAGGAAGCATGGGCCTATGATCCAAAGCCTATTCCTAATCCAGGTCCGTGACCGAAGTCAGAGCCTATTCCTTTTCCATTTACAGACCAAAGATGCTGAAGGGGAAAAGGAGATTCAACGAATGCTTGACGCCGCTATCTATCTATCATATTCAGAGTTAGCACGAGCTATTTGGTATCCCCAATAGCTGCTCTTAATAAAAACGAAAAGAGTTTGATCTGCGTAGATTTTAGAGAACTTAACAAAGAAAGTGACAAAGAAGGCCTTCCCGTTGCCGTTCCAAGATGTGATAGCTTAGGTTTACTTACCACTATGAATCATACGCTTCGCTTGCTGCTTTTCAGCCTACTCTTGCACCTCCGCTTGCTGGATGGATCTGAGTAAGTGCCGGCAGTCTCACCTTCCATTGTACAAGAGCAAGTCTCCTTGAGATCACATAAGAGCCACTGAGTTCAGCATAAGGCAAATATTAGTCAATTGTCAAAAACAGTAAAAACAGTAAGGGTAGTGTTAGTGAAATTTCAAACAGTAAGAGTATACTTAATCAATTAATTAAACTATAAGGATAGTTTAAAAAATTTATCTTAATAATAATTAGGATAAATTATAAAGACCCTTGTACTATGGGGTCTGGGACAAAGACCTCCTGTACTTTGTTTTGTGACAAAGACCCCCTGTACTATGACCATGAGACAAAAACCCTCTTTCGTTAACTTTTTGTTGAAATCCGCTGTTATAATATTTTTAAATCCCCATATTATGAAAAACACTGTTCATCTCCTCGACCTCGAACAACAGCAGCAATAAGGGAAGAGAAAGGGGATCGGGGATTACCGCCGCTACTGTTCTCTACCTCTGGAAATGGGATTCCACCGGGTTGACGTACAGGACAATCCTCTGCAAGTCTTTGAGCCGCTTTCATTTTCTTCTCTTCAACACATCCTGGAAGAAGTTCTGCTTCATGATCTCCTTGAGAACCACCGGTGGGAATTGCTTCATGATGATGAACATATTCGAGATCCAGCTTCTAATTATTATCTGATTCTAAATTTATTTTCTGTCAGAAGGCTAAGCTCTGGTTCTTCTCCGCTCTCCTTCCAGTCTGATCTAATCACATTCAGTTCTTCAAATATTTGTAAGCAATTAAAAAAAGTCTAGTGAAACTCATTTCGTTTCAGTGTCGCCAGATGGTGCTTCACACGCAACCTTTCACACTAAATTCACTTCCCTCCATCTTCCCTACTTCTCCCTCTGCAGAAGTATCTCTTTCTTTTCTACTTTCTCTTCAATTGAACCCATTAGGAGGTCCACTTTGAGTCTTACAGAGAAAAATCCATTTCTCAAATCCTCGTATCAGCCTCTGAAATGCTCGATTTCTGTAGTTTCAGAGCCCATCCAGAAGGATTTGCAGAAAAAGCCATCTCCAGCTGAAATTTCTCGGACAATAACGGAGCTAACCTTTGTAGGTACCCTTTCTACTCTAACCTAAGAAGGTTTTCCTCTTGGCATTGGTGTACGCTTCGTTGTCGAGTCTCCGGAAGAGAATCACTGGTTGCTCCTGACATGTGACCAGTGATCCGGTTGCTCTTCCGGCTATATGGAGCTTCCACACAGGGATAAAACAAGCAGCAAAATTGCCAACTGCCATTCTCACAATTCCTGTTTCTTAGTAATTTAATGGAGAGAGAGAGAATTACCTTCATGGTGATAGAAGGATCTCCAGAGAACAAGCTTCTAAGCTTTAACAGAAACTCGTTTAAGTAAGGAAGAATTAGTTTTATTAACCAAATTACCTCTTCTTCCCCCACTACATGTGTCTGGTTTGAATCATCTATATCTATATATCTTAGCTCCCTTGTAATTTTTGAGAAAGGAATTAAGTGAGAATTAAGAAACATATCTAACTTCTTTATTTAAGTAAATTTAGTGGGTTTGGGAGATTTACCTGCAGAGAATTGATTTGTAGACAAAAATTAAAGCAAGATAGATGAGACCCATATAAGACGTTGTAGAAATTAAGCTGTCGAAAGTGAAAAAACAAGAAAATTCAGTTTTGATGGGGATTAATGGGGGAGAAATGTCACTTCTCATTTTATTAGACTGGCACCCATTACCTGAAATTAAGGTCTTTAGTGGAGGATGAAAGCAAGAAAAATGTCCCGATTCCAAACACAAATGCTGATCTCGATACGTCTCTCCACATGATTAAATCGACTGAATTTATGAGTAGTGACACATATCATGGCCCTGTTGAAGCTTGCTTTCGTCATCCATGGCTCTTTTCAGTTTTGCAAATTTATGAGTAATTAGGGAGTGGTCTGCAACAGGTGATGGCTTTTTATTCAGAACTAGGGAGATGGGTTTCGCTGTTTCATTGACCTGTGCAATCTTCTTCTCTTCATTCACAACCTTTTGGGGTTTTATGGGACTTGGGGAAATTATAGATTGATCTGGAATAGGGGGTGGCTGTTTATTCACAATTGGAGAAACGGGCTATCGTGAGGTTGAGGAAGATGAGTAGTGTTTTTCTTTTAATTGTCTATAAGGGTAAATATGAGGATTAAAAATATACGGTAGATTTCAACGGAAATCTAACGAAAGGGAGTTTTATCTCATAGTCATAATACAGGGGGTCTTTGTCGCAAAACAAAATACAGGGGTCTTTGTGTAATTTACCCTAATTATTAATAGTAAATTGCTTGAATAAAAATTTTGTAGGTTATGTATACTATATATTATTTTTTGTTAATTGAGATTAGATCAGATCATACATCATCATCATTGTCTGAGCGCGCTTTCTCTGATTGGAGGTTTGAGATGATCCGTTGTTTCTCCATCTAGGAGATGTTAATCAACTAATAATATATTATATATCCTCAATGTTCTCTTCGATACGCATTCATTCACGCAATGTTACGTTGTGTCTGAGAAAATATCACGCCTCTTCGAGGTGAGTTGGGTGTTCGTATGGAATTTCTTTTCTTGATCGTATGGAATATCATTTTTGGTACTTGGTTACCAAAAAAAGGAAAAAGATCAGATATGTACTTGTTGCTCTCTCTTCTATTCTGTTTTTCTGGAGCATCTGTTTTAGTTTTGAATTCTAGGGTTCGTACCCAGATTTATCATTTATGTATTTATGTGGCAATACCATGGAGGCTTGTTGATGTTTTGTTATGAGTATGACCCACAATCTTTTACTTGTTTGGTCCTTTCAATCCGAAGAACTGGATGAGTTCTGTAAATTCTATTTGTCGTTGTTAGTCGCGGTGCTCGAATTTAAACATTGAATCATCCCCGCTTTTCCCAGTTTAGTTTGTTTGTCAGTTCTGCTAAAGAAAATGTTTTGACCCATTCGGCCCTTTAAGCTCTCTCTCTATTTAACCTGGCTAGCAAGCCATGACTGAATCTTCATTTTCATTAAGCTTTGATATGATACCAACTGAATTCACGTCAAATATGTTGCTATGCCTCTTAGTAAGTGGTTTAACACAGCACACCGGAGACATGGGATTTATAGTGGCATTGAGCAATGATTAGAGCGGACTGAAAAAGAAGAATCAAGACTTGATTTAGTCAATGTCTGGGTTGCTGGATTTGATTGCTGAGTGCTTTGAAAAGATGGATCCGAATTTGATATAGTGAGTTTTTTGGTGTTTTATTTCCTGTGCCTAGTTGGGATTAAGGATCTGTTGAATTGAGATCTGGTTGAATTTGATTACACAGATATGGCTCTTCAGGGTAGCTCACAGTCTGAATCTGGGCGACACGAACAGATTATTTCCCAATTTCTATTAAAGAGCTTACACATTATTTTGGATTCAAGAATTCCATCTCTGAGTCGACATGATCTTAGCGGTGAGCTGACACCAGTTTCTCGGGTGAGAAAGAGCGACAAATGGTTCAACTTAGTCCTAGGAGAGCGCCCTGCATCTTTGGAGGATTTGAACTTTTGGCACAGAAATGTTATGGATCCAATGATAATTGATGTGATACTTGTCCATGAAGGACCTAGTTCATCTGCAACTGATGATTTATATACGACTTCAGGAGTGGGAGTGCCTGTTGAGACAGTTATAGAGAGGTGGGTTGTGCAATATGAGCCTTCAGGGACAGTGCCTCCTCAACAGGTAGAGGCTCCTGCCTCTTACAAGAAGATGTATCAGAAAGCGATTGTCCTTCTGCGTTCCCTTTATTCAATAATGAGGCTTCTGCCTGCTTATCGGATATTTAAGCAGCTAAGTTCATTGAATCAGACGTACAACTTTGATCTCATTTACAAGGTTTCGTCATTTGGTGAGCTGCTTTCAAGGGCAGAAGAGAAAGTCATGAAACAATACAGTTTTGCCCCTGTAGAGGCCCCTTCAGGTCGCCTTTCTATATCTTTGACATATCAACCAACTTTATCTGGTTTTAACCTTGCACCTTCAACTCCAGTGCCACCAAATATAATTACTGACTATGTTGGAAGCCCTGCTGCTGACCCTCTGAAGGTCTTCCCTTGTACAGACAAGGGTATACCGGCAACATCATTTTCATTCAGAAGGATACATTCACCAACATCTGTGCCATTTCAACGTCCACATAGCTGGAGCAGTGGTATCCACAGAGTAGCTCCTTTTAAACAAAATCATCCCCTTTGTGGTTCACCCCCTGCTCATCATACTCCTCCTGTCCCTTGTCATTCATCTTCTCCCCCTGATATATATGGTTATAGAATTCAAGGTTATAGGCCGCCTTCTCATAAGAAGGGTATTAGTTTTGATGAACACCAGCTTTCTCCTCCTTTCCTACCATCACCATCCCCATCACCCCCAACATACTTCTCTAGTGGTAACCCTTTCCGGACTGCTCAAGGCACAGAAACTGCTCCTGTTAGTATTCCACTGCCCAATATGGGCAGGAATAGTCGATATACTATTCCTAATTCCTCTGATCCAAATAGACATTCTCTTCCACCCATGTCCCCTAGAAGCACAAGGCTTGATCTTTCATCTCAGGAGTCTCCATCATCAGGGAGCAGGTCTTTTCGAAAGACAGATGCATTAAGATCTGGAGAGCTTTCTGGGTTTGCGCAACTTTATTCGGGGCAGAAGGTATTCCTGGCCTGAGATCTATTATTCTAGGTTGGATATTTTTTCTATTGCTAATGAGATCTAACATCTTATTTGCATTATAGATCTTCAAGGACAGCAAAGATGATTCGGGGCGGTTCTCAGGAATTGTTTCTTCCAGTGGTTCACCACGGGTTGGATTTTCAAGGAGTTCAAGCAGGCTATCCTTCCAGGATGATTTAGATGATTGTGACTTCTCATATCCCTTTGTTGTAGATGATGTTGACACATCAGATTCTCAAACAAGGTAAATATGTCATCTTGGTTGGTATATTTCTAATTAAAAGGATAACCTTACTTATTTAAGTAGATGTTACCTTTTGACTGTTGTAGGTGCAACCCCATGCCTTAGTGTGCTTTTCATTTGGATTTGTTTTTTGATGTAAAAGTAAATTTCATTAATATATTAAGAAAAGGATTTTTTGGATAGTGGGGAAAGATTTCATACAATAAATATGTATCCTTTACAAAAATTGAGAGGTCAATCTAGCATCTTTACAAAGTAGGGCTCTATACATCACCACCCTTGTCTAAGCCTTGCCCCAACTAAACGTATGACTCTATACGTAGATGATGCCAAAATACCTTTGAAAAACACACGTCTTATAATATTCTCCCGTTGACTATCAAATTACAACATTGACTTTTTCTTTCCATAGATTGCAAATGGGTAATTCTCCATGGTACTTGGCCTTAGATTCAAATGGGATTAAGAGCCATTACCCAATGTTGCTCCTCGATATTGGGAGGTGTGGAGCAAATTTGGGCCTAACCTTTAACATCTTTTGCACGAAGTGGCGCTCTCAGGTTTAAACAGGATTGTTGACCAATTTTAGAAAAGCTCATGAATGACACCTATATTCCATTCCACATCAAAGATAAAACAAGAGTTCTCAAAGCCTTTCTGATGCAGGAGCTAAAACCATAGTAGGAAATTTCTGATTTTTTTATATTATTATAATTTTAGACAGTGGGGTTGCTTTGGTCATAATTAATTTGTGTAATTTCAGTCATTCGTTAAGTCATTTAGGAGTTATGTTTTCTTATGTTGTGGAAAACCCAAGAAAAACAGATTCAAATGGCACCCAAAATGAAAGAAAAACAGAGATAAAGAGAAGCAAGCAAACAGAACACACAGATTTACGTGGTTCGGCTTATAGCCTACATCCATGGGTGAAGGAGGAGCAGAAATCCACTATGTAGTCAGCAATGGAGAAGAAATATAGAGTTGTGCACTCACAACCTCACTCACAAAAAACCCTAAACCCCAAATACACCCAATGTCTCGCTCTTCTCTCACAAGACAAAGACTAAGTATACAAGAGAGAAAACCACCAAAATACATAACTCTTCGTATTCGGTTCAGACCTATAAGCTGAATATGGATCGGGTTTTCTCAAATTAATTCAGAGTGGATTCATGAAGTGGGTCACCACAAAGAATTCAAGGCACAAACATAACATCTTATGATAGTGGCAATTTATTATTTTCCGTTTTTTCCTAGTTTATCAGCCACCCCACCGTATAGTGTCTATATAAGTGTGATTCCCATGCCTTAAAGTGATTCATTCTAGACTCTTTGTCTCCCCACTAATTCTACAAAAAGCATTTGCAGACATCAAATGCTCATAGATCTTCATTGAAGAAGTTAATCAACATCTCTAAAGGATTGTCATTGATTTATGTATGTTTCCTTCAAGTTTATGTGTTGAAATAAAAAAAAATAAAAAATCATTTCAGCAATTTTTATCCTTCAATTCCACCAAATCTTGTCCCAGATTTCCACCTAAACCCCTAAATTATATAATTTTTCAAGTTTTCTTCACATCCTTGAATTTTCATCCTTTCTACAAGATGTATTATCATAGTTTTCAAGGTGCCAAGACGAGGCTAGGTGACAAGGCAGTAGTCGCCTAGGTGTCGCTAGGTGATGGATTTTTTTATGTAGAAAACATAGATCCTAGGGTAGTTCCCTTGGTACCATAACCATATTTCCTTAATAATTATTCATAATTTTCATAAGAAAAGTATAGAGTTCATGTTAAAGTATAGAAAATCAACATATTCATGAGAAGAAAAAGAAGAAGGAAAACAAAATTCAAAAAATATAGGAGCTGAACCCTTATTTTTGCATAGGAAAAGAAGAAAAGAAAAAGTAGTAATCGAGCCTCAAAGGGTGCCTTGTCGCCTAGGCATCACCTTGACAACTATGCAGTACTATATACTATGCCAAACTTTCTCACCCATTACATCTATCTTGGACAAATCTACATGCAAAATCAACTCTAGATTTAATTTCCACAATTTGAAACTTTTAACAATTTTGGGACAAATTTTCCATTATTGTAGTTAAGCCTTGAGGCCTTTCATAACCTAACCAATCTCTACCTTTAGTCCTAAAATCACCCATAGGTCATATTCTAGCTAATTAATTCCTTTCTATGTCACCCTTTTGTCATTCCAATTATCATCATCTAAGCCTTGTCCCAACTATATGGGATCGGCTACACGAATCCTGCTTTTCCATTCCGTTCTGTTCAGTTCTATATCTATCATGAAATTATGGGCTATAAAATCATTTCTTATTGCTTCCATCCAATTCCTTTCTGGTCTGCCCCTAGCTTTTCTAGCCCCTTCAACTTGTAACAAACCACTTTTCCTAATAGATGTTATAGATGGTCTTCTATGCATTTGACCAAAGCATCTAAATCTACTTTCTCTCATTTATCACCTATTTGAGCTACTCCCAGGTTCCTTTGTATGACTTCATTTTTAACCCTGGCCTTTTATTTTATCATTCATCCATCTAAACATTCATGTTTCTGCCAAAGTCATTTTTTGGATATGCTGTTTTTATACTCCCAACACTGTGCACCATACAACATGGTTGGCCTTACAAATGTTTTATAGAATCCTTGTGTCATTCCAATCCTACATAAAATTGGTATGAAAGCCACAAATCCTACATCTGTTTGGGATCAGAAGGTCATTGCAGGTCACAACTGCTTCATAGAGTATACTTGATTTGGGCATAAAATTTATATCCTTGATCTTGAGTCAAAATTTTCTCCAATATAATCAGGGAGGCATCCACTCTAAAATGACGACGATTGAAGACCATTGGTTGTCCTTTTTTTACAGATGTTACAATAACCATGGTTTAAAATATATTTATCAAAAAAAAACCGTGGTTTAAAATGTCCACATATTTTCCTAGCATTTCCATTTTCCATGGGTATTGACACAAAATATACTGGAACTGACATATCCTCGGTGAAAACTAAGGTGGCAATTAGTTGGGTAGTTTGGGAAGAAAGGAATTACAAAATTTTTATTCAAAAAAGCAGAAAGGAATAACTTTGGAGGTAATAGACAGCATAAAATTGAAGGTAGCAATTTGGGTAAAGACCTTGGATAGCTTCCAAAATTTCTTAGTCATTAACATCTTAAGAGCTTGGACTGAGGTAGCATAGTCGTCGAGAGAGAAAGATAAAATTAGAATGGAGTTGAAACCCCTAGAAGGTAACAAAGTAAAAGTGAACTTTGATGGGTCATGGGAGCTCCTTTGGTAACCCAGATATGGCAAGAATAGGAGGGGTAATCAGAAACTCTGAGAGTAGGATATTGGATCTATTTTCAGGGACAATTGGTATGGGAAACTCCCTGAAGGCTGAACCATTGGCACTGCTGCAAGGTTTTCGATTAGCAAAGCAACTGGGTTATAGACAGGTAGAGGTAGAAGGGGATTCAAAAGTAGTAATTTCATCGGAAAATTGCAATAGACATACCCCATGGACTCTCAAACATGTTTTAAGGGAAGTGGAAAGGATTGCAAGGGACACAAATGTTGAATTCAAGTGGGTAAGGAGTGAAAATGGGTTAGCTGACTCCCTTGCCAAACAAGAGGTAATGTGGCAGCAACTGTTTTGGGCTTCCTTGTAATTTTAATTGATGGGGATGACTTTCTTGTCATCAAATTGTACTAATCTCATCTATAATCAATTACAATAAAATATTTTTTTCTGCTGATCGAAAAATAAAAGCTACTTGTGCTGTGCAGAGTACATGAAATCATATTATAACATTAGTTGGCAACAATATTGTAGATATGTGGAATAGCAGTCTTATTGCCTGTCTGATGGACATGATTACCACTTTGAGCCAGCTTGAAATTCTTTTCAAAACTGAAGTGAAATCTTAGTTTTTACTTGTGTAATTGATTATTTAGTTGATCTATTAGAGTCATTTGCACTTCCCATGAGTTTAAGTTTTGCTTGTACTCATTCTATTATTTAGTTTTGGCTCTTAAAAATTTACAGGACAACTTCCCAGCCAACTATTTTTTCTTTCAACCTTAGTTTCTTAACCTTTTTTGATGGTTCGGAACAAGAAAATAGTTTAAAAGGGTGTATTTATGCTTCTTTTATCTATTGGAGCCACTTGCACATTTCATGAGTTTAAATTTTGCTTGTACTCACTCTATTATGTAGTATTGACTCTTAAAAATTTACGGGACAACTTCCCAGCAAGTTATTTTGTCTTTCAACCTTAGTTTCTTAACTTTTTGATGGTTTGGAACAAGAAAATAATTTAAAAGGGTGTACTTGTGCTTCTTTTGCCGTTTCATAAAATATCATTCTATAATTTACTTGTTTCACAATGTTTCCACCATGTCTGTAGCTTTTACAATATTTCCTTCTGACATTCCCATCATGTTTCCTATATGTGATGATTGATCATAAAAGAACAATGAAGAATAATCTACTCCCACTTGTTTCTAAAATAATCAAACGTCAGCAGCCAAGATCATTTAGAATTGAAGACCAGCAAACCATCTGTCTCTGAAAATCTCCAATATTGCTTCAACTGAGGAGCTTTTCCTTTTGTAAAATGCATCTATTGTTTTCTTTCCAAGCATTCCAGCACAATGAAAAAGGGAAAAAAAACTCTATAAAATGGCACCATGATGGCTGAAGCCTTCATTGTCTAACACTGGCCTTAGCATGGGAGGCAAGTTTCTGTGGTCTGTGGTGTGCACCTTATTGGTTTGTCTAACACTGGCCTCAGCTGCAACCTGTTCATTGATTTGTCTTTCAATCTCCATCTTGATTGACCGCTAACCCTTTCTGCTGAAAACTATTCTCTTTCAACAACCATTTAATCTCCCTTTGCCTCATGAACCACCACCCTCAACTGATCTTCGGAATAGACTACTGAACCTCATCAAACTCATTACAACCTTTCTCCCACACCTCCCTGCTGCCTGAGATATCAGATGCCATAACCTCTAAGGACGTTTCACCTCTTGGAACACCTGCCTTCTTATTTGAGGCTGGACAACTTTGAAGCCTCATCTCGAATGAATCTTGTAACAACCCATTCCCATTTGTCAAGTTTCTCCTTTTCACTCACTTGAAGTTTCCTTTTGTAATGCCTTTTAAAGCTTGCTCCCTTTCTCCCCCTTGTAACATTCACTTTAAACCAACTCCTATGTTTTCTCCAGCTTTTACCCAACCCCTTTTTTTCTGAGATGTACCAGACCTCTCACGCATAAAAGATGAAGAAGATGATATATCGTGGCTACTGTCTACTCGTGCCCGATAAGCCTCAACTGTCATGTGGTTACTTAACTCACCATGTGACTTCTCTCCTTCTAACCCACCATTGCAAGCAATTGAGATATATCCCCCCTTTAACGTTAACATAAACTCTTCTTATTGCATTTGACGATCCTAAATAGTCCACAACTTTATCCCTTTTAATCAAGGAAACCAGGTCCCAGTTTGGCCTTTTGTCTTCCACACCAAAACACTCTGTCAAGCCACCTTTCAATTTTCGTCAGCTTCCTTAGAGATAAAGATAGCAGTGTATTTGAAATTATCCAAAGATTTCAGTTGATGTGGCAGTGAGCTAGCCACATCTTCATCTTCCTCCTTGAAACATTCATTCCACAGCTGCAGCTCTACTGTCGACAGAACCCAGACTTTGAAGCAACACCCATCGTGCAGAACACTTGAATGTACAGCTGTTAACAAAACAGGTTTAGGATGAAAAACAACTCAGAAAAGAAAGGAGAAGAGAGGAGAAGGAGAGGAGGGAAGGAGAATTGAAAGAAAGAGGCCAGAATAATAATGTTCCTGCCGCACTAACATTGTTATTTATACGTGCCAACATAACATAATGTAAAAAGACAAAAATACCCTGCCACCTATAACAGAATAAATTACAGAATAACATCATGAAGGGGACCACAAGAAAATATTAGGTCTGGTCCACTGTTTTACTACAAGAACGTCCATCGCTCATGGAATCCTCTCAAAAATGCCTCCAACCACTCCAATCACTGCATATCTCAATTTTTATTTTTAGCTGCAAGGCTTCCTGGCTCACCATAACAAATCCACAACATATCTCCCCAATCATCCTGAAGCAACTTTGCGTCCAGAGGTTGAAGGGCAAACCTACTTCAATGACTTTCGGTGGGTGATGAATCTGAACCATATTCACTGTTGAACACCAACCTGTTAACAGAAAGGTACCTACTTCTGAGTTAACAGTGGTAAGTTGTTCCTCCAGCAGAGATGAGAAAACTACCTGTGCTTCAAATGGTTTCAAGTTGACTTCTCTGTTCAACTCTTTTGCTAAGGTTCTCTTTACTTCCTTCCAACTTAATGAAATCTTCTCTTTTGAAATTACCATTGTCTCACAGGCTTCACCTTCCTTCTTAACCAATCCCTCCTTCAAGCCCAACCAGAACCTTTTCTTAGATCTTAAAATTTCAAATTTGAAAACTGCTGCATCAAAACCAAGAAGCATAACCACCCAGATGATCTGCAGCCTTCAAGGATACATATGGTCCTAGGTTTACACACTTCTCTAAACTCTGTAACTCTCAGGAACCTCTCTTTCCTGTTCTCCTTCTTCTCTGCTAAAAATCTTTCGTTACCTCCTTCAAACTCTTCTCTCCAGAGTCCAGACCCTGGACCTGTGAAAGTACACTGCCCCTCCTATGAAATCTTTGAATCAATCTGTTTCATTTTCATTAGAGCATACCTCTGTTCGCCCTCTCTCTAGAATCTTCAAAATCCTGTTTCTATTCTTCAAAGAAAAAAAAATCACCTCAACACCCTGCATGAGCTTCGCCACAGTTCCATTTTCAATGCAAACCGATGTGGAGGCTATTGATCATGTCCTCCTACTTGGAGGGTTGTAAAGCTTTCTTCTGAGGTTTTGGCCCCCTACAGAAATACAATTACCTTTTCCGAAAAAAAGAGAAAAGGCTGAAGCCTTCAGCTCATCAAGTTGCAATGAGAACAGCGTAGTCTGTGGGACACACCTGTTTGACGTTAGGGCTGTAAATGAATTGGATTCAGGTTAGATCTGCCTTCATCTTAATTTGGTTTAATTATGCATCTATTGTATTTGGCTTGAAGTCCAATAGGACCTAGGACATGTCAGATCAAATTCAAAGTTGGTTGGATTAAATGGATTTTTGGATCTGATCTTATATCCATTAAAGCTCTCTAATTTGCTTTGTCATTGGCTGAATAACCTTTCTAGAGGAATTTATAGTTTACCTCAGCATGCTCCCATTACATAATTAATTAAAACTCTAACCTCAAAACCAAAACAAGATCAGTCCATCATGTAAAGCACTATGTAGTCATCCAAGCTAGACTTTAGAGTTCACCAAAATCAAGAACCAGAAAAATCACAATTGTCTTCCAGAAACAGATAGATCAACCCGATTTGAATTACAATCACTTTCACCACCAAAGACAAACATGAATGCATGAAATGCATCCAAATTGAGCAACTGTAGATGAACCATTTCAGTTCAAAACCAATTTTCCTTTAACAGACATGTTTAATTAATTCAGCTGAATAATAATTTGAAGTGATAGAAGAAGAGAGAGAAGTGAGCAAAATAGAGAAAAGTGAAATGCAATTGGGGAAGAACAGTGAGGGAGAGATGTCGCCTCTCCCACTTACAATTAAAAGACCCAAATACGCCTAGTCATGTACCCCCTTACAAATACGTATATATTCCTCTTCATACTTTATTTATCAAAAAAGAAAACCTCTTCATACTGAGCATAGATATTAGAACCCTGCAAAGTGCTTCCACTGCTTTAACCTTTTTGCATTGGACTTCCTTTTCACCTTACATACCCTCTCTTTCTTTCCATCTGTCTGATTGTATCTAATTACAAGCCAAATCAAATTGCCTCCATCCAAATGCCTTTCTTCTCTGTTCTCCTTCCTATTTCAGTTTTTCTTACCCTCTAACCTATTCCAAGGGACCAATGTTGCTTCATAGGTTTCTTAGATGTAATTACCCTCTCACCCTTCTTTAACAGTTTGAAATAACCATTCTCCTTGACCCACCCCAATTTCTTAAAGCTTCCAATGTCTAAAGTGAGTGGAGCCAAACTTCTTTACTTCCTCTCATACTCTCATACCAAGTCTTCCCTTGTTCTATGCCACATGTTTCTCCACCCATTCCCAACCAAAACCCCATCAACATCCTTTTATCTGCCTGCTCGTCATATTCCTAAACCTGTCACCCTGTCACCTTCATTTGCTTGCCTGAAATTGTTGAGCCTGAGTCATCCTGCATATCAAGCAAGCTATCTCTATCAAACAAAGATAATTCCCTTGAATTAATATCAGATGCTGATACATGTCTGATCTTCCCCATCCACCATTACTCTTAACTGATTTCTTCAAACTCTATTACTTCTTCATCCTCTTCTTTACCCTGGAACATGAAGAGGTACAGACCTGCCTTTGAATTTTCTCACTATTACAAGATCACCTGATTTTCATTCCTTTGAAACCATGCTTCCAGCAGCTTTAGAAAGGTACTCCAACCCATGAAACCACCACTCTGATCTTAAATGGATATCTGTCTCCTCACCTCCATACATTTTCAGTTTTGGGTCCGCCATAGGTTACGATATTTTATGTCAGACATCATAACACATTGGATCTTTCATTTACGTTGTTTGCCTAAGACAGTGCCTTACAAGGCTTTTTTTGTTATGATTTCTTATCCATGTCTACAAGTTTGCTTTTGCTGAGAAATAGGCAACATTTTTGACATGGTTTTTGAGATGTATACGAAATAGACAAACACATTGTAACAGGGAACTCTCATAAAAGGGTTTTATTTCAATTTAGAGATCCTATTTTTTTCTTAAAAATTTTGTTTCCCGTAAAAGATATTGTTTTGCTGGAGGAAGCTTTTCAGCTGTCGCCCTTGTATTTCCAGCACATGACATTTCCAATAAACACCAACACCACCACTACTTGTCTTCTGCTTTGTATCATCTTATATACATCCCATCATGTGTTCATTTCCATTTTTATTAGTATGTAATATGTAATCATCAACTTGTTTTGTAGGCACTTTGAATGTCTAATCCTTCCCCTGTTACATAGACTATTTTTTGGGTCCCTTGTTAGAAAGGCATGCACATAAGTTTCAGGGAATGATTAGAGGTTGAAGCATAGGGGGCTTGAAATGATTATCAGATTATCCAATTGAACCCAAATGTCTTTTCCTTTGGAAAACAAAATTATCATTTGTTTTTTTTTTCTTTTTTCCCTGCAGCAAGTCCTGTTTGAGAGTTATGATATTTTGTTAGTATTTGTCTATAGGCCAGTAATGGTATTTTGTTGGTATTTGTTTGGGTTTTACCATGGATTCAACGACCCTTCTTTGTGTCTAGCAGGACTCCTGAAGGGAAAGAAGCTTCAGAATCTACTTCCCAAGCATTTCCCTCGGCTAGAAAATCTCAAGATGCCGCTGTTGGGGTCCTTGTCCACATGTTAAGAACTGCACCCCCACTGCGACAAGACTACAGTTGTTACTCATCCCAGACTTCCAAGAGTGAATTCGAGGGAGAGGTTGGTTCTGGATCTGGATTCTGTGTGCCTCGAAAGACAACAGATGCACTGGAGGAGCTTAAGAGTTACAGAGAAATGAAAGACTTGTTACTCTCTCAGAGTGGAACTCGGGTTATAAAGAAGGAAGAAGCTAAACCAACTGCCTTTGTGGGGTAAATATCCGATTCATGATAAATGATGTGCTCCTAACTGGGGAAGAGACTGAAGGGCTTAATTCTTGACATTTATTTAGCACAACACTTTGCCATGTCATAGGAGTGTTAGAGCACAAAGCTTTGTATATACATGACTGAAAGTTAACTGTATCACATTATAGTGAAATTGGGAGTTAAATGAAAATGTTTGGCTAATTTTGTATGTGTTTGGCATCGATGCTGCATATGTATATGTGTGGATTGGAAGCAGAAAGCGATGTCTCTGTTTTTTTTTTTTGGAAACGTTGCTGCCAGGTAGGATATTTCCTGGGGCAATAGATAGGGGTGGCAATTTTCCCCGTCCCCGACGGGTATCCAGGCTCCCCAACCTGATGGGGTCGGGGATGGGGGGGTACCTTGGTGGGGTTGGGGTCAGGGATGGGGCTACCCCTGAATCCCCCGATCGGGGGCGGGGACTGCAATCCCCGCCCTGACCCATCCCCAATTAATATATATATATATATAATTATATATAATATATTATATATATTATAAATTTATATATATAATATTATTCATTTTTAAAATATTAATTATTAAAACTTGAAAAATAATTAAAAGTGTAAAATACTAAAGAAGTCTAAAACCCTCGACAGAGAGAAGTCGAGAACTCTCAACTCTCAATTCGTCTGTCTTTGGAACAGCTTCGTTGATTCGCCTTCCAGCCCTTCCTTCATCTTCGACTCTTCGTCGCCAATTCGCCGACCGCTAGCTTTGTGCCTTCTCGAGTGATAGAGAATAGATAAAGAAGAGTTTTATTTGTAAGTCCTTCTAACCTTCGCCTGTCGTCGTCATCACCGTTGCTCGTCGGACTCTCTCTCGTCGCTGATCTTAACTCTCCCAACGGTCCTCTCTCTTTCTCTCTCTCATTCTCTCTGTCTCAACCTCTCAGTCCATCGGGGATTCGGGTCTCCGATGGGGAATTTATCCCCGTTGGGGTCGGGGATGGAAAGGGGGATTCCTTTTCCCACCGGGGATTGGGGATGGGGATGGAGGGTGATTTGGGGGTTGGGGTCGGGGATGGGGAATGCAATCCCCGCCCCGAACCCACCCGTTGCCATTCCTAGCTCCAAATCTGTTCTCAGCACTGGTACCCATTATTCAGTGCTCCAATGCTTTGTTATGTATATGTTATTTTACATTCAACAATGAAAAAAACAAAAAAAACACCTCTTTCATCTTATGAAAAAGGTTTAAGATATCATACTCAAAAGTTGCTTTTCCAAGATGCGATGTTCTTTTTTTTTCGCAGGATGATAATTCACGGATGGATTTTTGAAAATAATTTGCAGATGGATAAGTGAGGATGGGCAGTTGGGCATTAACATTTTAATTATTTTTGGCATCCAGTAATCTGGATACCTTTATGATACACGATGCAATGTGATACGTATCAAGGCCCTGTTTGGTAATGTTGTACATAGTATTTTTGCTTCTCAGTGGCAAAAACTAGTTTTTAGCAATATGTTAATTGATAAAAATGAGATGCTAAGCATTCAATTGTGTATGTGAAAAATTATTCTATTGACCTACCCAAACGAGTGCCTCTGAGTGAGGAATGGTAACAGGGCCAGTTCAGGGTGGGATCATATTACCCATCTCGACACCAATCCCCACCAGGGATAAAAGTTATCCTCTGTCCCTGATCCTCAACGGAGATGGGTTCCCCACGAAGACCTGAATTTCTGTGGATTTTTTTAATTAATAATATTTTTGAAAAATAAATTTACTTAAAATAAAAAAAAAAACTTTTAAAATATAAATAATATTTTAAATAATCCTTACCCCTGACTCCAACCCCTGTCGGGAAGGTCGGGTACCTGGAAGGGATGGAGAAAATTGTCATCCCTATTCTCGACAAACGGAAAGGATTGACAAAAGAGTGGTAGATCAAAGTTTTCTTCTCTAGCTGGTGGAGAGGGGACAATGTTGGAAACGAGGTACATGGGGTGGAAAATTGGGAGATGCTAGAGGGGGGAATGACACTTATGGAAATTTTTTCTCTTCAAGCTACACCAAAAGAAATCAAAGTAGCAAGAGAAGGCCCCTTGTTTATTATCAGGCATTGAACGGTAGGGTCAAACACATATAGGACCTTTGTTTGACAGTACATTGATTTTGTGATTAATTGTGGGCCTGAGTATGTGCCTATGAGGCAAACCACATGGTTCTCCAAAGACGTCCTCAAAATTGGTTGGTAATGATTTCCTATAAATCCGATGGTATAAGAGAAGCCTACCATGGGTGTGCAACTTCGATAGCGTCCAATTGGAGTAGTGAATCCCATGTAATGTAATATCTCCTCTATTAATCTAAAACCTCATGCAAAGATTTAAGAAATCCCACATAATGGGACCCAAATAAGGGAGCCATTGGATTCCTAACACCACCTTGTATCGTAGCAAATAGAAATAGAAATCAATTTTAAAATGGACCTTCTATAATTCTAACAAGTGGACTTCCCGTGTGATGTACAGAATTGGATTTAAAATTTATTGTTCTATGAAGCTATACGACCCAGGGGTAGGGATGGCAATTTTCTCCATCCCTGTCAAGTACCCGGCCTCCCCTATCAGGCGGGGATGGGATGGAGATTACCTTAGCGGGGATAGGGTGGGGATGGAATTAATAGGAATACTTGATTGGGGACAGGGAGTAAAGTCCACACCCCACCCCAACCCCGCCGATTATATATATTAAATATATGTATATATATTATATTAAACATATAATATTATTTATATTATTAGAATATTTTTATATTATATTATATATATCAAAATATATTTAAAATATTATTTGCATTTTAATTTTTCCTTTATTTAAACAAATACCTTTCTAAAAACAAACTTTTAATTACAAAATTTAGGCATGTCCCCAGTGGGGAAGCCCTCTTTGTCAAGGACCGAGACACGGGCTAAAATTTTTGACAGGGATTAATTTAAAACTCGAGGTCGGGATGGGGAGTATGACCCCCGCCCATTGCCATTCCTACCATTGGGGTCATCCCCTAAACCTATAACACCCCCAAACCCATAAATATAGTTATGGGGAGTATTATGAATGTAGTATCCAATATTCATGGAAATTGTTAAAATTTTCCAATTATTTATTTGAAAAATTGGAAGCTTTATAATTTAAGTTTCACTAAATCAGTAGTTATTGCTAAAAAATTATAGTAAATATCAAAATTACTAAAAATATAAATAAATAAATAAATTTATATTTATTGAAATTAATTTTCCACTAAAAATTATTGAAAATTTTTAATTATTGTTTGATAATATCATTAAATATTAATAAATTGACAAAAATTATTGAAAATATCAATAGCTACTTATTTCTAAAAATTATTAATAATTCTTAATTATTAAATTTGTATTTATTAATATTTTAATTAATTATTAATTTTTTAGAAATTATTTATTTCAATAATTAATTTTCAAAAAACTCTGAAATTAAATTACCAAAATAAGTAATTTTCAACAAGTAATTCTTAGTAATTAAATTTTTTTAATTTACCAAAATTATGGAAAATTATAGTTTAGGTGTTGATATTTACTAAATAATATTCAATAATATTAGTAATTATTGAAAATATAAGAATTTTTCATAAATTAATTTAACTATCCAAATTAATTAATTTACCCACGTTTTTGGTTTTTAGATGGTTTAAAATATAGATTAAGAGGTGTTTTAGGGGGGGAATTTTAGATGGGAGAGATTGTTTAGGAGAAATTTTAGGAGGGGGTTGAGCCGATTGGTAAAAAGAAAGAGAGAGAGAGAGAGAGAGAGAGAGAGAGAGTTGGAGTGAAACTCTAGTGAAGAAGAGAGGGCTGCCACGTGGTAATATAGATTAAGAGATGTTTTAGGAAGAACTAGTTGGGACCCGTGCGGTACACGAGCTTTGTCAAGTATATTTAAGGTAGGAGTCTTATGACATTCCTACTTAGGTCAGGCTAAATCAAATCCAGCCCTTTTTTTATTTGGGGGGGGGGAGGGTACACAAAGGAAAATTCTCTAACAGCAAGAGGTAAAGCAACCCCAATGATCACGGGTAGAGCCAATACGACCGGGGGAACCCTAATCCCTACTAATACTACTCCTCTCCATGTAAATTTCCCCTCCCTCCCCACCCCACCCAACAATTAGCCCCCCTAGAGCCCCGTCCATTTAATTAGGTTTTGGTCCCCATAGAAAAAACTTTGGTTGTATAATCATTGAATTACCTTTAGCCCATTATTTTGTAAAATATAGTTGATTTTGGTCAAATGAGCTTAGCACTTTCAATGTAAAATTGGTCACCTTTTTTGTTTAATTACCTTTAGCCCATTATTTTGTAAAATATAGTTGATTTTGGTCAATGGACCTTTGATCCAGACTATAATCATTGAATTGTTTGAAGTGGATAACCATTCACAGACTGATAACTATTTTTTTTATAATTAAGTATTTTGTTATATTTATGATAAATATCACAGTTTTCGAACCGTCATCGACCTTGATGGTCGGACCTTTCAGCCTAAAAAAACTCGAGGCAACTAGTTCCTTTTCACCCTTAACCCGTATATTGGCCAAAAAACCGTTGACTTGGTCAACAACCTGCTAACGATTGTACCTTGCCCGTTGGTTTTTTGATGGTTGAAAATTAATCGTCAACCCATTCAACCTAAACAATGGTTTTTGTTCATTTTTTATTTAAATTATTTTTATATTTTTTAAGTTAGGACGGTCCATCCGTTCGAATTGGATGGTCAGACTATTTGGCTTGAAAACCGTTGAGGCAACTAATTTCATTTCATCTTTAATCCGTATCTTGGCAAAAAACTGTTGACTTGGTCAACGACCTGCTAACCCAAACAATTGAACCGTATGTCAACCTATTCGACCTTGACAATGGTTTTTGATCATTTTTACCTTTCTATAATAATTTATTCATTAATTAATAACTAAATAACAAAAAATGAAATTTATAATTATTGTAGATAACTAAAAAATTACTTTAAATATCTAAAAATATTAAAGTAAATATCTGAAAATATTATAACTAGTATTTTCTTTCATTTTAGTTATTATTAAAATTATTGGAATATATTTAGCCATTAATCTTAATAATTGCAATTTATTCACTAAAAGTTATTGAATAAGTGAAATTCCAATAAT